CGACAATGCCGCTGGCAACGAGGTTGTTCAACTGTTATTCGTCAGCTCATATTCTTCAGTCAGCGGTGAAGATGCCAACTTACACCAAGGAGATACTTGTCCTGTCCTAAACGGTCCAGATAACGCCGGCAGAAAGGCAGGGTGCCAAAGTTCTTGTTGATGACGTTCAACAGCCTCTTGGCCGAGTCTAACCGGAGCGCGGCATGGCCCTCTCCACGCTTAGCGTAGTGAGACACCTCCATATCTTCCCTGACATATCCATTGCCCGTGCTACCAAACGTCTCGACGGCGAAAACATCACCCTCCTCCATCTTTGTCGTGTCGTTGCTCTTGACGATAGGCACGCTCTTGGTGCCGTGGATGCTCCAACGCTCAATCGTGTGGCCGTTGAGGTTGCGGATCGACTTAACGGGATACGTCACGCCGTCAATCTCGCACTCGTAGCTCTCCATGACCTCCTGGATGACACCGCCGACATCGCCCACGCGGACGTCGATGCCAGCCTCCTTGACACCGGCGTTGGTCGCGTCCTTGACGGCAGCGAGAAGGTTGTCATACTGCGGCTCAAAGGCCATGGTGAAGGCGCTGTCGACGATACGTCCGTTAACGTGCACGCCAAAGTCGACCTTCATAACGTCCTCCTGCGAGAGCACCATCTTGTTGCCGGCGTTAGGCGTATAATGCGCCGCGCAGTGGTTGAGGGACAGGCCGCACGGGAAGCCCATGCCGCCCTTGTACGCGTCGCCCTCCTCGAGACCAGGGTGTCCCGTCAGCGCACGCACGCCGTCCTCGATGCCTTCGGCAATCTCGGTCAGGGTTTGGCCGGGCTTGATGTTCTTCTGCGCCCATTGGCGAACCTGGCGATGGATCTCGGCGGCCTCACGATAGTCTGTCAAGAAGTCGTTGTTGAGGTTGTCGAGGTGGCGCTTCTCCTCGTCCGTTGTGCGGTAGAGGTTCTCGTCGCGGTACTCCTCCTCCTGGCCCTTGGGATAGTTCTTTTGGGGGAATAGCGAGGACATGAGCACGCGGGGCGGGTCGGACTGGGCGGTCGGGGACTTCTTCTTCTTCTTCTTTTTGTTCTTCTTCTTCTTCTTGGCCGCTCCGCCGGCGGCGGGTGCCGTCACATCCTCGCCCTCCTCATCCGAGTCGTCGCTGTCGTGGTCGACCCCATTTCCCTCCGCGGGCTTCGCTGCCTTGCCGTTCGTCGCAGGCTCTCCCACTGTTGGAAGGTAAAAATCATTGATTAGCATAAGGTTCCGGACTTGATGGGCGAACAGCCGGTAGCTACGGCGAAGAGCGCCATACCGTTGAGCTTCTTCAAAGCTTCTGTGGGAACTTGGGCAGCCATCTTGGCATACTAGATTTCGCGTGTGATGTGAAGTTGGTGGTGGGAGCAACACAGATTTTGAACCCCACCTGGTAAACGCAACTGCGCGGGGTAAGCCCCCGTAAGTCGTTAACCGGGGAGTTGCCCCCTTTAAGGGATGCAATGTCCAATCCCGTTTCACCTGGTTAGAGCTTTCCACAGGCGCGGTGAAAAAATATTCCCTAAACTCGGGTATGGAGGTAAATAGCAGTCACCTGATTCGTCTGGTCCAAGCAAAACCGATCGTCTATTCTCAGGTCTTGAGTCGCAAAATTCCCCAGGAGCAATAGGAACGGTTAAAAAAAAAAAAGAGCCAAGTCTGCGGCCAAGCGGTCCACCCCCCATCAAAAACCACCATGGGAGGCGCGTATTCTTGCAACTCTGACCTTGCTAATTACAAGGTTCCAGACGCCTATTACCCGTGGGCTGCGACTAGACTGCGGGTTGCACGCGGCAGATCGTGGTTCAAGTCGGCTAAGTTTGCTTCTCTTACACGTCACAACGTCATTTGATATCCTATTTTTAGGCTCGACTCGCCTCGTCTTGCCTTATAAGTGTCTCGAACCAGGAACATGCAACTTTACGCACTTCACTCCTGCATGGAACCATAATTGCCTCCAATGATTTGTACCGATTTTTGTTTCCTCTGCAACTTCAGTGAATCAAACCCCCACGATCTAAACCGACTTGAGCGAGTGACTCGAGTTAAATACAGACTTGAGACGACACCTTCAAACACAACTTTTGCCGTGAACCCGAGATGACAGCTCATTCTGCTCCTTCAATCGACCCCTTCAGACAATAAGTGTAGTGGTCGCCGCCGCCCAATTAGTTCACAATGCACCGAGCAGAGAGGGAACCGCAGTCATGGGCGACACCGTAGTCGCAGCATCTGCCGCTGGGCGAGCACTCGTAAATGTGGTTGGCGATCCTCTTGCTCGTCACGACGTAGCCTCTGTCGCGGCTCCAGACGCAGTTGCCGCAGACGGTGAGTTGCTTGTTCTTGCTGTCGCACTTGCATCCGTTGTAGTTGCAGGCCCTCTTCTCCAGACCTGGCTCTTCCTTCTTCTCCAGTATGGCCACGGGCTCGTCCGTGTCAGCCCGCGCGGCTACGGCGTAAGGTTCATCCTGCTGGGCGACGCTGGCCTGGGCGGCTGCGGCGAGGAAGTAAACGGTTAAGGATGTGGCAAAGCGCATTTTGGGCGAATTTCTGAAACATAGAGTTGGTCAGTTGTCTTTCGAATCACGAGGCTTTGATAGCTGGGCTATACCTTTGTTTCTGTCAATTCGCTTGAGGCTCACGCAAGATTCAACAGCTACAGTTAGATGGGTTCGAGCTTCTTAGTCAAGATGACTATTTCCTTAACTTTTCATAGCTTTTATAAGCTTCTTAACAATACTTCATAATTCCATGGTCTGGCTTCCAAGTCGGTTCATCAAGCTTTCGATGCAAAGGGGTAATATCATGCCCGTCTTACTATTCCGAAGAGATCAGCATAGCTGAACGGTATATATTTCTCATTTTGATTCAGCTGAAAGACATACGATCACAACATTGTGGCATAGCTGCGGGGTTGATAGACAGAGAGAAACACCGGATTGGCTGCCTTCTCAACGGTATGTGTCTAGCAACATGAGGGACATGCAGCTCATTCTTCTACGTATGAGTGCGTAGCCTCTGTTAGCCGTGTTGCTGCACCTTGGTTATGCTACCATCCGGCTGCGTGTATCGTCTACTCATGTATTTCAGTGCGGCTGGACTTGCGGTGACTTTCGAAGGATTCTTGTGATAGAGCCCAAGCCAATGAGACATTGCTGTAATGTTGCATTCGAAAAGGTGTGGTTAACCAAGGATAACATTCGAAGCTACACACTAAACTAGCCAAGAAGCAAACATAAGCTTGACCGCTTGAGAGGGGAAATCGGGCTAGTACTGATGTTAGTCTGTCCAACGCGAACCCTTGTGGATATTGAGGCGACAAGTGACAGCCTACAGTCCTTATTCGATGACTTTTGGATGGTTCTGTCTTTACCCTCGCCGTTACATGATCTCCCTTATGCTGTTGCTCCTCTTCACATTCCGAGCAAGTATGGCAGACTGTGTCGAGTATACCTGAGACACCAGCCAGCAGGTTATTTTAATCTTGCGGGGTAGAATCAAAGTGCTCCAATGATACATAGCCCATGCCCTTGATCATGACCTACAGTCGAAGCGCTTTGAATCGGTCAAGACCTTGGCATACCCTCGGAAGTGTCCAGAATGAGAAGAGCCTTGGTGTAACATGAGTCAAACCTCAAGCTGCTACGGTGCATACGCAGTACAACGTGATATCCCAAGTACGGCCGAGTGAGCACCATTTCCATACAACTATGTCTATTTGTGAGAGGCTAAGTGCATCCCAAGGTAAGTGATATCATATAAATTGGTTTCTACTCACTGAACGTGTGAGGACCGAGGTGGATTTCAATTCCTACATATTACAATGTCCTACCTGGCCCAACTAAAAACGGAGAGCCAGTACGTGCATACCACACTCATACAGTCGAGGTACACAGGCCAGCTTACGAGCCAAATAAGATTGTAAAAACTCGAAAAGTATTGGTGACTTACCTAGTCGAGAAAAGGAGCATCAATAACAAGACGTTACTTATCTATCAACGGGTTACTCTGCTCTGAGTTTTAGTTGTGCTTACTCCTTCCACAAAACATAAAGGGGTTTCTCATTAGCTCAAACTGCCCTTTTCAACTTTGAGCCCAAAATTTGACTCATGCATCGATATGCCATGGTCCAGAATGGGTAGATGATCAACAAGGGTTGCTATGCCTTTCTACCATAGAATTCGCCTATCTATGTCTTTAAAACAAAACCATTCAAAGATGATTATCTAAGGTAGATGTAACAAGCCATGGTAGAACCTTATTTCCACTAACTAAGTAGATCTTGTCCACTCAATTGTGTATTTTGGGCAAAGACCGAAAACTTCTCGTGGTACCTATTCGAAAGTTCTATCCTGCAAGCAAAATGTTGGCCATGAGACAATGATCAACTTAGCCTGTCATGGATATCACACAGTCTGAATCTTAAGTTCCAGAGACCATCGTTCCATGCCCCGAAACTGCAAAAACATTGTGGATATTGTGAACAGATGGTGGATTCCTAGTTCGTCCTGTCATTTAGAGAGAGTCAAGTCAAATCTCAGACCTTCAAAGCACCAAAGAACATCTGAGGACAGGAGAACTAGAGATATTCAATGAGCCTCGATATTTTAAACCACTCCCATAAGACAAAGACATCGCCAATATTTTCATTACTCCAGGAGAAATTTTGACGGCAATTACACCACATTTTGTCAATGATTGCCTTTCTTTATTCTTCTGATTATGCTTCAATCCCATCAATTTCACATTAGACCTTTGGGGATTGATGTTCATGCACATCTAGCCATAGAGCCTTGGATATTCAAGCACTCTCGAGTCTCAAGCCTTCTGGTGGCCACGTTCAGTGCAGACACTTCTAGGCCAAGCTGTCCCCGTCTCGAACTCGTGAGGACATCATCTTAAAAGCCCGGGCTGGCCACAAATACTTCATGGTCTTGCACCTCCACGTCCCGGTGCTCCCGAGAGACTCTCACGATGGCCTTCCACGGCCAGGGTGCCTTCCCCCATCAAAGGAGACCCATCCAGAGGCAAGAACAAGAGCGCCCTGTAGACTGCCAGAAGTTTCAGGCCCCATCCTTCTTCGAAATCAAACCCCTAAGTTCGTTCCTGGACTTTCCATTTTTCCAATCCACTATCAGCTTACCTTCACCCTCAAGGTAGCTGTCGGCACCCCAACATCCATCAACATTCGAAAACCCACGCTCGAAGCATCAATATCATGGAGGGCAAAAAGGACATCAAGGATTGTGTCCTCTGCGGTAAGGCCTGCAAGAAAGCCACCCGCAAGGATTTCTCCTGTGGTTGTGATCCCTACTGCACCACCTGCGCGACCGCCTACCTGAAGTCGTGCATCTCGAAGCCGTTCCGCAAGCCCAAGTGCGACGGCGGCTGCGGATCCCAGAAGCCCTTCCCCGATCTTTGGGCCCGCCAGTTGCTCCGCCGCAAGGAGGCTACGACCTACTTCGACCTCGCCGACGAGGCCGATGAGGTCTCCCGCAACGCCGCCTTGTACTGCCATGACACTGCCTGCGGCCGCTACATCCCGCTTCGTTACCGCTTCGGTCTGAACAACGTTGCCGGCACCGTCAGCGGCACTGGTACTTGCCCATGCGGAAAGCTCACCTGCATTGGATGCGGCGACAAGGTTCACCAGGGCGAGACCTGTGCCGAGGTTGAAGCGCGCTGGAAGGCGGAGGGAAAGCTTAAGGAGGAGCTTGAGCGTCAGAGTCGTCGTACCATGGAGCAGTTGACCATCAAGCAGTGCCCGGTCTGTCAGTCCCCTGCTGAGAAGGCTGATGGTGGCTGTAACTACGTTCAGTAAGTTCCTTTGCTCCATGTGGAAATTACTACTTTGGCGTTGTTTCTTCTTATTTTTTGAGCGGCTTCTTATTAATTTTCTTGCGCGGGTGTTTAGATGCGCGTCTTGCGAGAACACCTTTGACTGGGACGAGGCAAGCGTTATTGACTACAGCAAGTACGTCGACGACAAGCCTGGCGATGACAAGCCTGAGGGCATCGAGTCTCGAACTGAGAAGCCTGCTTCTGACAATTTGGAGTCTTTCGAATTTAACCCTTTCGAGGACAAGCCCGCCGAGAACGGATTCGCCGAGAGCAACGCCGCCAACGGCAACTCTTCCGAGGCCATGGCTATCGATGAGCCTGCCGAAACTATGTAGCCTCCCAGCCTAAGTCGGCTTATCGTCTACAAGACTACAGCTCGCATGGAGGTCAAACGCGTTCCAGCCGACTTTTCGTGCCGTGAAGGCAGAGACAAAGATGCAGTGGAAGCTACTTGTATACATATTCAACCACCGAATGTGAGTTATCGACGTCCCAGGTATATCTCGATGCATATGGTCACTTCCCCCATCTTCATTCCGATCAAAGACTGACAAATTGTACGTTCAGGACGACTCTTGATGGCTACACGGCTGTCTGCCCTCCTTTGGCGGCTTTTGGCACTTTCTGAATGTCCCAATTCGAATCAATTACCAGATCATATTGCTACATGGTAGTGATACGGATTTGCTTGTTGGCAGTGGACGGACGACCAAAGTGGTGGATAGAGAGGCAAGAGCAAAGAGGGGTGGTGGCTAAGCTGGAAGAAGACTGAGGTATACGGGCGGATCGATGGGAACTCATGAAGGACTGAGGAAACTTTCAGGACAGAATGGTTTAGTCGGTAAAAGTACCAGTAAAGTTACAACAATCAGAATCCCCGAGCTCATGATTACGCTGCTCAACATGCCAGACCCCGAGTAAACCCGCGCTTCCCAAATGCAAAATCAAAATATCAAATCCCACCATCTAAACCGAAACTGAGAAGAAGTCAAGTGCCTGGCCTCTCCTCGTCTAGAACATATCCCGAGCACACTTTACTCAGTTACACTGGTCCCCAACCTGCACGAAGAACCCGCCGAGCCCAGAAGCCGTGAATGCAACATTGATATCAACGTCAACATCCGCATCATTCGCAATAGCAAACTCGAAGCTCAAACTCTCTCGGCACGAAAAGCTGTTGACGACCTGCACGGTATCCTTGACAACAGCGTCATTCGCCACCTCGAGCGGCCCAAAGCTACCGACCAAGCTACCCGCAGCGGGACCGTCCAGCGCGCGCACGTTGAGGCGGGCGAAAGCGTCGCCGCCCTGGTCGATGGGAAAGCCTTGGCTGAAGGCGCCGACGAGCTGACAGGGACCAGCGGTGGTGGGACCGACGGGGAAGGTCAGGACTTTGGTGACGACGGTGCCGGAGCGGAGGTCGGCGACGCCGAAGTTGAGGTCTGTGGGCGCGACGAGGCGGCAGCTTGGGGTTGAGGTTTGGCGGCGTTCGGAGGGGGTTGAGCGGGCTGTGGCGAGGCCTGCGAGGCCTGCGAGGGCGGTGATGAGGATTGATGTGAGCTGCATTGTTGGGTTGGTAAGGGGGGTTTTGGTTTGGTTGGTGAGAGGAAGTTGAGGGGTTGGTAAGCTTGTTAGGCTGAAAGTGAAGCTATTGCTGATGGTGTGGATGAGAGGAAGGTGTTGTTGAAGACGAGGGAAGTATCCTGCTTTATAGATATCTTCATCTCGTCGTCCTCTTCGTATTGAAGAGGTTCTTCGGTCGATCACGATACCTCGTAGAAGGATCATCAACTGCTGCGCCCGGAATCTCACCAGGCGAAGGCGAGTTGAGAGACAACATCGCGGCTGATGGAGGGTGAGGGAGATGTCACAATCCTCCAGCATTCAGCTCTCGGGTATCACAACGGGCACCACGAAGCCAACATTCGCAAGTCATCTACCAAGGTAGGGCAAAAGAAACCGACTCCGCCTCACTAAAAGCCTTGCGGAGATTTTTTTGTCGTAGCCTTTCTTGGAAAGACCAAACCCTATACGATCTCCCTGCTGAGATAGCCGTAAGAATCGAATCGAATCTCCCAAAAAACCCCTCCGCTTTTTTTTCTTCCTTCCATGCGGTTTCCTGCGTTGCGTTAGCTGCTGCTTCGCGGTAAGTGAAGAAACCCGGGCTGAGGATCTCACGCCCGTCAGCACGCCCTCCCTGCTCGGCGGGTTCGTTGCTCAGCCCTGCAAGATCGAAAGCTGACAACGAAAAAGGCCAGTCAGATTCAGCCGGGAATTTGAAGAAGCTACTGCCGGGCTAAGCTTACAAAGCTACGCCCCAAGTGACTTGCTTAGGTAGCCTGCCTTTCCCCAGATTTGCATGTTCTAAATATAAGCTTAGCACTTTGACAGCCTCCACGGGAACATGCATTCTCCAAAGGAGGTAACGAGAAGGAAAGGTCTAACTAGTGCCCATATACGGCTAGCTTACCAATACCTACCGTGACAGAAAGGCTCAGGGTTCGCGGCCGATTGGATAAACATTTCGTGTAAGACGGAGCAGATTTTCTCGTGACCTTGGTATACATACTAAAAAGCTGGGCTCTTGAAGGATCCGAGTCTTGTAGTGACTTCATTCGGGCCGGTTGTGAGGATCATGGGGTATGAGAACGAGCCTGAGAGCTTTGTTGGCGATGAGTTTGAGACATTTTGTCGTCAGCAAAGACGATAACGAAAGGAGTTTAGGAATCAAGGTCATGTCGCCGTCCTCTCATGTCAGGAGCGACACCTATACGAGCTCGCGAGCTCGAAGACTAGGAATCTGACTCTTTTTCTGAGAAGGTGTGGTGTTGAGCGAAGGTGCCGAAGGCTGCCGGAAGGATGCAAGGTACCGACTCAGCCGATGAGATTGGCAGTGCCTTAGTTCATCTGACGATACGTTTTAGGTATTTCGTCGTACTCGCAACATCCTGCTGATTTCCGCATTGGTCCCAGAATGGCGAAGGAGACGTAAGACGGGTTGTAACCTAAGAGGCCTCAAGTTGTCGCCGGTACGAGGGACAGCGGTAGAAAGTTGTGCCCGAGTTTGGATGATCTGGCTGTAATCAAACCTTGTAGCTCCCTTCATCTCGTCCACGGGATGAGGCACCCGTCCTCGTCGAGTAGATTCAACCACATCTTACCACACTAGAACGTAGTCATCAAGGAGACCCCAGGTCCGTCGCCTTGTCATATGCAACCTGTCCTGCCATGAAGTTGTAAGATGTGATGTGTGCTGCAGGTATCATTTAGTGGCTATGCTGATATCAATCCTAACAAAAAAACAACAACAAGAAAGACCACTCGGCAGCTTGCCCGCGATCATCTACGCACCACGCAGCACGGCCTGGATCCGTAACCTATGATTAAAATCATCCCCAATTCTCGGAGCCTCGGCGGAGGATGGATCGCACTGACCCGTCCACGACCCAAAAGAAGCCTTGCCGCTCCTATGCTCGTTCCTGTTCGCTCAACTTGCTCATCTGGCTAGCCATGCTCAACCCAGTGCCCTTCCTTGTCTCCAGTGCCCTGGACCACCTCTTATTTTCGTGAGCGGGAGGCTTTCCGGACCCGTTGAGTCCGAGAATCTCCATCAGCTCGGGTATTTCGGCGTGGTCTCGCGTGGAGCGCATGCGGTGGCACCACGTCACTCTCTTCTCCTCCGGCTCAAAATCGTCGCCACCCTCTCCGTCGATGCCCTCCTTATTGTCGATGCTGTTCTTTTTCGACGTCATGGCTTCCTCGATCTGCCGCTCGGCGTATGGAGTCGAGACGGGCGTGACGAGCTCGAGTGGTTCAAAGAGGAACTCGCCGCCAACTTGTCTGTGGTCGCCCGATTTTGTGGCTAGACCGCTCTTGACCTGCTTCAACCCCTGGAATACGCTCTCGGCGGCTGATTTGAGCATGGATTTGCGCATGTAGGCCGGTCGAGCTCCTAGCGCGAGGGTGCGCGTCATGCCCAAAGTGTCGAAGAGACGTCGCGTAGGATCGGTGTAGACGGGGAAGGGGCAGCCCGTCTCCTGGAGGTACATTTCAATCAGACCAGGGTTGCCGCATCCGACGACGGTAATGAACGTGCTCATGGGAAGACCCAGCAGAGCGTCGGGGGTTATCGATTCGGAGAGAGATCGTAGGAATTCCTGACAATTCTTGGTAGGGTTAGCAAGGAGAAGAGTTGTGTAGGGATTGGTTGAAGACTTACGCCGCAGAAGAAGTGGCGGATGAAGATGACGAGGACTCGCCTCGCGACATTGCGACCGGTGTATAAGCTCTTGAACGTGTGGCTCTTCCCATGACGATCTAGCACTACATAGTTCTCGATCTTCTTCAGAATCTGGGGCGTTGGCAGGTCGTTATTGGTAGAGATTTCGCCCTCGAAGTCGGCGGGCTTGGTGTTGTCAATTTCTATCGAGGTCGCTGCCGTATCAGCGCCTTGAGTCGTAGAGGTCCTTGGCGACCTGGTGCTCGTTGTCGTGGCGGTGTTTGGTGGTTGTTGTACAGACTGGCCAGTGGGCGGCAGTCCCTCCCTGGCGTCTATTGATGTCGGCCGAGGAGGTAGACTAGGCTTCGGCTCGTCCCCCGTCGCATCTTGACCGTTCGACGAAGACAGTCCGTTTGTGTCCTCTGCGCTCTTGGGCTCCGGAGCGGCCTTCAACTCCTCGGTTGTTGTCGTAGCATTGGGCTCCGCGGCGTGTGTAGCTGTCTCCGTGGAGTCAGATGCTTTCTTGGCATCGCTGTTCGTCGGGACAGAATTGGTGTTGGTGGTGGCAGCCACAGCTGGAGGATCTGACGGCACAGCAGCCATGACGTCGTAATTTGGGTGGGTTTGAGCGATGTTGGTTCGGGACTTTCGAATCGCGCGCAAATGATGTTCGGTGCGATTTGGGACTTTGGGTAAAACGGTCTCGATTATGTATGTAGCGGTTCTGAGACGCCAAAAAAGAAACAAAGCTGGATTTATTGTTTTGATGGCTAAGACCAGACTAAAGGCAAGGTAGACAGACGATGGGTGGTCTGGAAGGAGGCGCAGCAGCTCTCAGTGGCCAGGATTGTACTCGTAATGGCTGAATACCAAGGAACTGGGCGAGTGAAGGCACCCGAGTGGACTGGGGGGACCAGAAGGGAAGGGGAAAAGCATGCCGCACCACCGTGGATTGTGGACGGCTTCTCGAGACTCAGCCAGGCTCCTCCTGCCCACTTCACCTATCTGGTCCCAGTTCCTCTCTTCAGGTTTTCTTCAACCTTGTAAAGTTTGCTATTCAAGCCTCCAACTACCAATTATCACCAACTACACGCACCGTGCCACCCCGACGTCGATAGTGGCCGCGCTACGATTAGGTGCTGAGCATCTCACGGCAAGTAAAGGGCCGTTTTTTGCGCGCGGCTTGCAGCTGGTTGGCGATTGCAGGGTCCAACTTGAGGAAGGGGGGAAATCAAGATGCGAACGCCACCGCCAACGGATTTCTCAATCGAGTTGGTGATTGACGGCAGTAAACCGGGAATCAGGGGACTAGCAGCAAGTTTGCTATTGCTCATTTGCCAAGAGACGTTAGGTTACCACGTTACCTTAGTAAGGTACATGAAGCTTCTGCAAATGCTACCCAAATGCCACCGGAAAGACCCTGATATTGACTCTTGGGTCTTGACTTCCACATCGTGTCTTTGAGCCCCCTGCCTCCTGCATCTCTGTCTCCAAGTGTCTGTCCACAAATACTGAACCGTCCATAGCCCAGAGCACAGGTGCATCACTGCATACGTACTCACAGCAGGCCAACTGATGAGTTGGAGGCCGCTGGCCTTAGCTCCTTAGAAAACGCGTTGTTTCATCCGCGTATGAGGTCATGGTGGAGGGCCAAGGCGTTTGTGCTCATTAAGGTATGGTCAGGTTTCCGGGCTCTACCAAGCTGTACTTGAGCCTCATCAAACGAGTCTTCTTTTGATGAAACATTAAAAGAAGACGTTTGCTGAATTGCTCAAGACACTACTTATCCGTCCCGTCAAACATGACTATATGGCTTCACGTGGTTTGAGGTACAGCAAACTCTTTGATAAATGTTCTGATCATCATCCAAATGCTTCAATCGAAGACCCGTTACCCCTGTCATGGCCCGGACATGGGACATATGGAGCATCAGAGAGAAAACGACATGGAGGAACTCTGGATGAGGAATGGACGGCACTCTATTACCGGTTCCTCCGCGTATGAGTGAACATTTACCCACCTTCACCGTCGCTCACCTGCCGTGCAGAGCTGGCCCGTCTACTCTCATCCAGAACTTCACTCCGTAGCGGTAGGAACAATCTCTTGCTCGAGGCAGGCCGCAGAGCCATCTGCATCCTCATTTCCCCGGAATGAACGAAACAGGGCCACCGGAACAGCCACCGACGTAGACCCTGTAAGTGCGTGCTGCGGACAATTTCTTGAGATTGATGCTATTTTTACCTCTTCAGCCCCAGCAGGAGTCCCCGCCCAGGGACCAGACCACGACCGTCCAGCGCGCAGAATCCGCTCCGGGGTCCGGGCCTGCAGAAGACTCCAGAGGCATCGGCCACAGCGGACTCAGCACCGGAGGCGGGGTGAATTACGCTCTGAGCTTGAGTCTTGCCGACCTCGAATTAGTCACTTGCGGCATCCCACATTGGCTTGGGTGCAGGAAACAGCGACTGAAGTCCAGGGCAAGAGAAATGTGGCTTGTGCTTCCTCAGATTTGTTTCTTTCCTTTGCAAGCCACGACTCGGCCGGATCCTCAACGACTCGCTCGACGACCCCCAACCTGTCACACCTGCAACCTTCAACTCAAGTCTCGACCTCATCACGGACTTCTTCCGGAGATATTCTCCCATTAGGTCGGAAAAACTCTCTGCACATCATACTCCCCCGGGATCATCCCATTGACCGGATCGCTAGGGGACGGCTCGTCATGTCTAGCCCACCTTCCTGCCGGAATTCGATGGCATTTCTCGCAAAGATGTCAAGGACGGCGTAACGAGTGCACAGATGACTCCCTCTTCTGGCATACACTTCGCAGAGATCCGATGAGATAGAGCTGTTGCTGTTTGATATGGAGATTGTCCAAATCCAACTCCAGAAACCCCATCGAGGCGGCCACAATCAATTGCTCAACTGAAAGCCAACCTGGCTGATAATTAGAGATATCGAGCTGAACAGCCCAATCCTCCCCCGTACAGCAAGAGTCTGGATTGATCCATAGGAGAATCGCCAAAGTATGTATTTCTATCAGCCAACTGATGCGTACAGCAGCTTGAGGGGGCTTTCGAATACAGTCTGATCTGTCTTAGCACATCGTCTAGAATTGGCAATTTCAGGCGCCTTTCTGTATGTCGCGCATCTCGAAACGATCTCACGCACGAGACCGACTCGCCAACGTCGATATCGGAAGATTCTGACCCTTCGTACTATTGTGCCTTCGCTCGACCGAAACAACTCCGGTGGCTGGCAAACCTTGGCAACTTGTCAGTGCCTCCTGTCCACTGGTGCAAAGCCAGTACAGCCGGCATTCACTTTGCGACTTTCAGGAAAGGCGCTCATCTTGTCAGAACCAAAGCCAATCATTTCTTCTTTGCCCTCAAACGCTATGTTGCGCATGCCAACGCCAACTCCGAAAACCAATTGTCCCATGTTCCCCCGTCCCTGTGTGTCCTGAATCCCTAGACATCTGTTTTCTCTCAAGATTCCATCTTTCCCTATCATGGCTGCTAGCCCTCAAATCCAGTGTGGGTATCCCGGTCTGTCTGTTCGCACCGTCGCTGCGCCTGGCTGCAGGGGTACAATCTCCGTCTCGACTGCGTCGACTTCAGCCTTCTGAGGCAACTCCTGCAACTCTCGCTGCACTCTCCTCTCCTCCTGCTCCTGCAACAGCATCTTCTTGACTCTTCTCATCTTGACATAGATGTATATCGCGAGTGCGATGGTCAGAACGAATGTTGCGCCAAAGACAATGTTCTTGATGGTGTTGTTGCTGTTGTTCGACTTCTTCTCAATCAGGAGGACACCGAGGTAGACGAGAATGATCTGCTTCGGAAGCGTCAAGAACGTCGACACAGCAAAGTGCCAAAACTTCACATCGCATGTCGAAAACACCGCGGTCGAGAAATGGGACGGAATGACCGAAAACCGAATGATGAAGACAATCTGTTAGGTGTCAGTCACACAGTTCAACTACACAAACTACGCATGCCAATGAACATACCCAGAATCCGCCGTCGCGAGTCAATCGCGCCAAAGCACCATAGTTGAGGTTAGTCCTCTCCAGCTTTTGGGCCTTGCGTCGCAAGGTGTACTTGAACGCAAACCAGGTTCCAACTGCAGGCCGAGTTAGTGATCTGGTCATACGTGAGGGCTTATGAGCGTCGTACTCTCTCCGATGAAAGTGCCGGCTGCGACAATGGCAAATCCAATCCACAAGCCGTACACCACACCGCACAAAAGAGCCACAATCTCGTGGCCAAAAAGGGGCGGGAACGAGATCAGCACCAAGATGGCGATCGGAATCAAGAACCCTCCGGGTAGCGACCGGACCTTTTCAGAAAAGGGTCTCAATTTCTACGATTGCCGTACATGTTAGTGTATGCACCTTCTTCGCTCTCAATAAGATGCCAAATACCTCAACGACCTCATCATGATGAAGACTGATAAAGACTGTCGCCACAATGATGGCTATGCCCAAAAGGTGAAATGCTGCACGTCGCCCAGGTCAGTTTCCCCTGTATTTTCGATGCCGACTAGATGATTCATACGGATATACTTTGGCGTCAAGAAGATCTTCTTCCAATTCAATGGCCTGTATTCGGTATCCTCTTCCTTCTCTCCTTGCCGTTGTACGCTTCCCGTTCGGGCCATCTCGACGTCGGGCATGGTAGAAACTGCCGGCGACTGTTGGTGATGAGAATCTGATTGTTCAACAACCCGGCTCCAACGTCGACGAGAAAATATGCGACCAACACCCATTTTGATGAGAGCGGGCAGAATGACCCAGGGGGGGAGGAGAACACGCACATCAAGTAGGGAGACGGCGGGATCTGAAATCAATGCGAAACCGGAAAGCGGAACGCACAGCCACCCCAACTATCGGCCAAAGGAGGCAATAGTCAGTGCAGTGGTCCAGAAGTTCCTCGAGTCGTAACGCTTTATGTCACTGGGTTGTTCCTGGAACATAAGCCTTAATTCTCATTAACGCGGATGCAGGGCTACGGGAAAATCCCCCGCACATCCTCCCTCCTTTACACTACCGGAAATGAGGATGTACGATGCACCGGGGGGAGGATAAGGAGATCCAAAACGGAGTTCGACTGCTCCTCTTTTTTCGCAATGGGAACCTCAACGTCATGTCTTGTGTGAGAATTTGCGGTTTCGCGCACGGTAGACGTATCACAATACATACGGCCATCACCAACACGTGGCGGGCGGCTCTTTGCGCGGTTTCAACACCCATGGCCGATCACCGACCAACAAAGCGTCGGAGATCCAAAAGGCACCGATAACGAAGCACCCCAAGCTAAGTCACCCCCACGCATCCGCCGCGGCCTTATTTCGATATCCAAGTTTCATTCAACGACTCGGTGACCACGGCCCGTATGTTTCTCCCAACGTGGTTGGATAACGGGGGATGTTTAAGCTTGCGACTGGTCCCAGACAAGACTCAACACCATGTTACCACCACTTGTCGGACACCAAGACAGAACCCCTCCGAGCTATCCGCAGTATGAGCTTGGCCGTTTTCTCTCTCGCCTATCGTGCTACAGAGTTGGGCTCTTACGCTTTCCTCATCAAAGTTACATTGACAAGAGAAAACTCTACTTACCCCAGAACCTAATGCCTTGGCTGGACCTGACACTCGAGGATCAAGCCGGCTAGTCTCCCGGTGGTCCTGGCGGAAGGTTTAATCGCACGGGATTCGGTAGCCAGTTAGGCTTGGGCTACAGTAAGCATCTTTTCAGCTCGAATGTGTTCTTCCTCACCTCTAAAAGCCCATTGTTGGTCTCATCCTGCGGAATCCGACATTCTGGGAGACGGATGGACGGCATTATGTACACGGGGCTCTTGGCCATCTTGGAATGGCTTGAGACGGGCATGAGTCTTCTCAACCAGAGTGCCAGAACTCCCTTTTTCGACGTTCTCCCCCAAGGGCGCGCGTGCCCGAGCCTCAGAGTAGCTGCGAGGCCTGCAGCTGTTGTGCTGTCGAATCACGTTCAACCCGGTAGCCCTTTGCTTCCCTGCATGGTCAGACAGGCATTCTGTTGCCCACAAAGTTCTTCGCGATCGATAAGAGTGCAGGTTTGACATGCAGGTCTTCAGGTAACTATCATCCTTGCTTCCATTCCTGCGCTCCTTCTGGGACTTGTATGTATCTTCCAGCCGTATGCCAGGAGAAAGTCAAAATAGCTTATTTATGCTGCTTGAAAGCTCTTTCTGGCCCAGCGGACCCTGCCTCTCCCGATGACATTGACAGCCTGTTTTGCGTCTCGGCGAGCACGTCATGACTGCGAAGGGTCTGAACCGGAGCTTTCATTCCCGGTCTCCGACTCCAGCTGCTCGGAACGCGAGGACGAGCTTCTTGCAACATTAGATACGTGTGGGCTCTTGATTATGTAGAGGCTTTATCGTGTATGCTGCACTTTGAGTACTCTTTCAGGTGCAAAGACTTTGGAAAGACGCACTTGCTTCTGCGGCGGACATGCAGACTGCAAGCAAGCTTGCTATGTACACAAGGACAAAAGGATGGCAAGCCCACGTTCAACGGACGCCAAGAACATCCGAGCCACCAATAAGCACACACTACGCCAAGGGAAGCAGCTTGGCTCCCGGCCGACGGGCCGCTCTCTTAGCGTTGCAGGTGTAGCTTTTCGCTTCCCCCTTGATGTGGCAAACATGACTGCGGGTGGCTACTGTGGCTTGGCGTATGGTGAGGAATGCGAATTTGAGGAGGTCATGAGACATCGTGGAGTTTGACAGCTCTTAGCTTCTTGGCTTTTATGGTGTTTCTGCGCCTAGGTGTCCAGCTTCAGCTTCGTTCAGCTCTGTGTCAGAATTACCCGGATCATTTCCAACTTCGTTCACCGTACCCACGAGCTAGTCGCAGGCGATGTAGGGCTTGTCGTCGGGGTACCTAGAAGTCTTGGTGTGAAGCCTGTTTTGACTCCCTGGCGATCTGAAGGAGGAGATCATCCCGTTTCTGACTTGTCACAGTGGCTATCTTGGCTGCTTACCATTGTCGTTGGACGACTTGTTACGTGATAAAAGTCCGAACGTGGAGATCAACCGGGCTCGGCGTCGTCGGCGGCGGCTACACCCGCATGCCAACTTGTTAGTCCGTGTCTTGGCCTCCACCAGAGAGACATTTTAGCCTCCCCAGTCTACCTATGTCCACGTTGAGGCTGTTTCCGGCGCGGGGCTATTTTTCAGGGTCTTGTGTCTTACCTACCTACTGTGGCCACTTTGACCAAAAGCTTGCTTGAGTTTACGTAGTAGTTCGGTCGGTTATACGCTGCCACTTGAGTGAACTATTAACATAGCGGAGGCGGCTGCGGAGACTCCGCGTTCTTGTTTCAATGTTGGTCTGATAAGCTACGCCACGAGGTGATAGGGAGTTGAAGCTTTGCGGGGCCAGATATAGGATAGGCTTCTTGGCATAGGTACCGGTCTCTTAGGCTAACCTGCCGTGCGTGATAGTCATTTACTACAGCCTGCTATATATTCCTGACTCGTCAGTTGTAATCGGTAATCTTCGGGCCTCAATATCCGCCTTGAGGAGAGGAGGGTTTTCGTCCCTGTGAGACTTGCCGATCATGAAAATCTTGTAATGAGGTTGTCAGCCACAACTATCCTCCGCGAGATCGTCAGACTTTTGGTCTGCGGATCTTTGCCTTCGAAAGTTAGCTGCGGAGGAGATGAGCGAGAGAGGGAGACGGAAGACGGGGAGATGTTACGTGAACAGGTTGGAGATGTCGACGGGCTTGGGGTAGAGCTTGGGTCGTTGATGTGCTTGGGGAATATCTATAAAGACCAACAGTCGAAAGGCCTTCTTAATCCATATCTCTAGACTTCCAAGCTCACAAGTTCTATCATTTGATCACTACATCCACCAAGCAAGCCCTACTTACACTCATCTACCTTGTCCCACAACTGAAATACCTCGTCCTTCTCAATCCAAACAGACGAACGTTCTCCTCAAAAATGCACTTCTCAAAGACCTTCCTCTCCGTCGCCGCGCTGGCCATCTCCTCAACGACAGTCTTCGCAAACCCCATCGCGCAACCGGCAGCGGCGGCTGAACAGCTCGAGGACCGTACTATCCTTTCTGCAGAAGAGACCGAAGTCGTCAAGCGCGCCGCAGAGATCCTCGAGACCCGTCAGGGATGGACGTGTTCGTTCTTGGGCGATAAGGCTTGTCAGGTTAAGGTATTGTTTCTGACGCGGATCTTCATGGCTCGTTGATGGAATTTCGCTGACGAGTTTGGTGTAGTGTTTTGGGTTGAAGGGAACTGGTGGATACTGCAACTCCAAGAAGTAAGTTCTCGTACATCTTTTCCTCGTGCCGTGTTGTGGCCTTGATGGTTGTTGACTTTTTGGACAGTGTCTGCACTTGCTATGCTTGAATTTAAACACTTTCGGCCTTGTGGGGTGGCGAGGGGGGAGGTGAGGGAGTGGGATATGGATGCTTTTCAACAATTTGAGGTCTGAGACCAAAGATGAGGCGGACATTCTGGACAAGACTAAGGAAATTATTGGATTCGGGCTAGGAACCCGTTTGCCAGGTATTCAGGGTGGACCAAATCCTGACCTTATTGGTGCTGAGTAGCCTGAAAGGTAGCCGAAAGGATCTCATGAGAAAAACTTAAATCAAGATAGAAAACTCAAGAATATGTTAAAGAGCTTTTGGGCCAGGGAACCGTACTTGTTACTTGTGAAATTCATTTTCCTTCGATAACAAGGTACCTGAGCCTAGCAGTCGAAGGCAGTTCTCTTCCGCTACCACGGAACTGGAGAACTCAAAGTTTGCCCACGAATGGATTAGTCTTTTCTGATATGTCCATTTTCTCTCGAACTTTTGTATTTAATTGGTGACTTCATTCTAACTGAGGATAAGGTAGAAAGCATTCGGAGATATAACCAAGTGCGACTAGATTATCAAGCCTTAGCCTGCGTTGAAGTCCACAACAGGGCAACATTCTGCACAACAAAAACATCTCCCTCACGAAGCTTCATCAGCTACCAAGATATCCAACTCACAAGGAATCGGTACAATTCACTGGAACAATGTCTCAGAATCCCACATCAAACTCCTCGGCTAAAAACATTATATCCTCATATGGTTACATGGAGCGATACGGACATCTTGCACCTCCCCGCGAAAAGCCCACCCACGAATTTGACGACCTCGAACAATCCATCTCTGTCCGAATCAACGACAAGTATATCAACTGCTTCAGACTCGTCGCCGCGGGCAAAACCACCACCGGATATGGCGTCCGTATACATGCGTTCACCGACGATTCGGAATGCAGAGACGTCGCCATGAAAGGGAAACGGGAGGATGTCCAGGTCACTGTCGCGCCAAAAGACAAGCTCGCGGACGAGGTCGTTGGCGAGATCATGGCTATTTCGCTGGGGAATCAGGGATGTATTATCATTCTGGCGTATTTCAAAAAGGCTGATCTGGGCCTTGGCAAGGATGATGAGTGGGTGAAGGTTTCGATGGATAGGGAATATAAAGAGGATGTGATACCGCAATGGGAGGACCTGGAGGAGTGGGTTGAGTTGTGAGAAAGTAGCAACCGGTGGGCAGGTGTAAGGCTTCTGTACTCCAGGCTCAAGTCATATCTGACACAAGGAGTAAAAGTTGATGGAAAATTGAACCGTGGAGGCGGATACCAACCTGTACACAGACAACATATGATTCGGAAGAAGCATATACTATAGATCCAAAATGTACAAAATCTTACATCAGTCAAGTAGAAACGCAACTTGGAAGACTCACAATCCCCTAGCTTCTCCCGAAAGTCTGCTAGATCTCCCGTCGAAGACGTCTCCTCGGTGCCACTTTCTAATGTCTTCCTCCGTAACTGTGCCCCCATGATCAATTTGGATATCATGCCTGACGCATATCCCATCACGTTCCTTGCCATCAACCACGTTCGCTTTGCTGTGCTGAAGATCATCCATCCCATACAAGTCGTCCGTCGACCCTTGCCAGCTCACACCGTCCCCGAGCCGTTCAAAAGACCCCTCGAGATCGATTGTGTCATTGGCGGCGGCGGCCCGCTTGCGGTTACTCGCTTTACCGATGGTGAGTGCGTGTACCTTGCTGGACCTCTTTGTAGACGAATCTTTGCCGCTGGATTTGCCCCGCGAGGTGGAGTAATGATGTCCTGATTTCACAACGCTCACGACGCCACCAAAGAAGCGCCTGAAGAGAGACGCACAGGGCGGCAGGCAGGCGCCGATGATGTCGAGGCAGACTTCGGCGGCCGATGCCGTGTAGGGGAAGATGGTTGTCTGGCTGACGTTGTGCGCTATACCGGGCACTGGACGGAAGATCCAGAAGAGAAGCGGTCGGGAGATGGAGATGAGGATTACGCTGGAAAAAGTCAGTCATTGACTCGGGGGCAAGCATGGCTTGATGAAGGTGTTTCCATACCTGCCGCCGATCAAGAAGATGCCTGTGAGTGCCGCTTTCTTGGTCCGTCGCATTTGAAGCCTCCATATCTCGTTGATGGGAAGGACCATGGCTATGATGTCGAAGAGGATGTTCGGGAATAGAATCCCTATTTTGCTGATCCCCATACAGCTGCCCGGAAGCGACTTATCCCAGTGGTACTCCACAGGCAGACACGAGAAAGCTGTGCGTTGTGCAGGAATATCAGTACTGTCTCCCGTTCGAAGATGGGTACTGATCGCCGAGGTCGAAAGCCAAGGAATAACCAAGGAGTCTCCACTAGAATATCACTTACTGCTGACAAAAATCACAGCAATGAGCCACAGCAAGATTGCGATCGTTGTTCCCCATACCCAGCACCGCAAAACCTTTGAAGCTGAGAAAAGGCGGTAGTACATCGCGAGGACTGCTATCTTGGCGGCCGAGCATGCTACGCAGTGTATAATGTCGATGGCTAGAATACACTAGATCTCGCGTGTTAGTTACTTGGCATAGAATCGCTGAGGATTGTAGAGAGTCTTTACTTGCCTTGAACAGAGGGGCCGTACCGCCAGGTTGATTTTCCATGACATCTTGAATGTTGGTCCCAAGACCGAGTGGAACAGCTAGACTAGAGCGTTAGCTTTGTTGCCTCGAAGATCATCGGGATAACCTTACCGGCAAGTTCAATAGCAAGCAAAGCGTGATTTGCCAGCTTTTATCCTTTGAGTCAGTTTGTTCCACTTTGCGCCATGTCTCATATTATTTCAACGTGAGTTGTGGCGAGTACTTACCAAAGCTATCAAAGAAATATGAACATCTGCTGTCCATATTGCATGTGGTGTCCTCCATGAGGCATAAAGTCTGAGCAAGAAGAGAACAGTGGCTACAAAACTCAGTACTCCGTGTGAGATAGTCAGAATCCCAGAGATGTCGTGGTCCGAGTGGTATGCAATGGAAACCATTGTGCAAGTGGGAGTCCAAACAAATTGGATGCAGGAAGACCTGGTCACACAAAGTGAGAAAGGTGAATGCGGCTTGCCGTCTGGGCTTCATCCATCTTCGTCCGAGCACCGGGAATATGCTTTGCAGATATAAGACGAAGATAAAGGAAATTTCCTTGCGGCCGAGAAGTTGATGTAATCGGACCTTGTGCCTGCCTCTGGGTGTGCGACAGGGGTGATATGCATCATGTTAGCAAACAAGCGAATTGGTGTTGCTGTTGGTGCCGGCGCATGAAGTGTTCTGGTTGGACGTCGCCATCAGGACATGGATGAATATGCCGAACTAAGTTACTAAACCGTTGGATCGCCGGTGGCAGTTGGTAAGGAGGCAAACATTAGCAGTGATTGCTGCCCTCTTGCCTCGCTCTCATATTCCCCATCTAGATGATATCGTCACGGGTTTGTTGGGGCTCAAATTGATTTCTGACATTGAATCGCACTTGATGGCCAGATGGTCAAGAGGTTCGAAAATGAGGGGCTGTCAGCCGCTGATTCAGCTGGTGAAGGTAAGAGTGGCAAGTTCGCAACACCTCTGCAGTAGGCAATGAGACATACGAGGAGCCGCGTCTGAATAAGAAAGCTTTGGCGCCCCGGAGTCCCGGGCTAGACCTGTCCCAGGAGGCCATCGTCGTCAGACCTTTCCATGCCTCATGCATGAGCCAGGGGATGCGTCCAATGAACTCCAGTGCCCACTTTCCCGCCATCTTGGCAAAACGAATGGTCACTCGAAAACGTGGCAGGCTCGATATGCCGGTACCGCAAACATGAGCTGCCACTCCCACCTAATGCTACCTTACCATCGAAATTTTCAATACGATTCTTTGACTGGTTCCTCAGCCTTGGGATCCCTCAGTCTTGGGACGATCGCTCCCATATCCCCACTCCAATCTAGTGACATGTTCGCTCACTGTTGATGTGTTTGCTAGAATACTAAACCGTCAATAGCGCGTTAACCCCCAAGGCATCCCGGAACGGAGCCTAATACGTACGTGTTTTGCACAACATCTTGGCCACTTTAGACGATAACGACGAACATAATCGTTTCCAAGTTCTCTGCAAATACATCACCAGGAGGGGCATATCCTCAATCACCCCAAGTCTTGTGATTCTCATCATTGATAGTCTGACTATCTGACAGGCATGGATGCAGCGGGCAAAACTGGGTGCAGCAAGCAATGGCCCTACATAGATTCCCAGCATCAGATCCTTCCTTCTCCAGGAACTCCAAGAAGGAAGGAATTGAATATTTTCTTTTTCCTGGAGAGAAGAAAAGTGGACCTCACAGTGGACCGCGAGCATCCATCATTGAGATACGTCCGCGCCTGTGCCCCTTTAAAGTAATAGGCAAAAAAGGAAAAAGAAAATCCACATAATTGATCGTTGAGATACCCGAACAGTGCCCGGCAAGCTTCGTAAGGTAATCAGTAACTCGGGCATCTCGATTTGTGGCCGGTGCTAGAACAGGTAGCTTTGGCTTCCCAAGATCCTTTTTGTTTCAAGCCCTTGCTTTCAGTCCGAAGATATCAAAGTAGCAGGCAGCAGCATGCGGCTAGTTACTAGGCAGGTCCTACTCTATCGAGCACCTTGAAGAAGAACTTGAGTTCACAGACGTCAATTTCTTCCCTACTTCATTTCTTTCTTCTCGGCCGGAGCTCTCGAGACCGTGGCAGTTGACACCGGTTGTCTGTAGCTTTCTGCAGTCAAATTGGTCTTGAAGTTAAGGTCAACATCTAGTCCATATGGCTCTCAATTTCCCTCGGGTTTCCGGCTTGTTCATAATGAGATCGTAGCAGATAGATCGAGGAGAGGGCAAAGAGTATTCTTTTGAAATTTCCGTTTGTGGGAGCCGGCGGCTGTAAGATCTGTGACAGCAGCTCTTGCAATGCTGAATATCCCGTTGTCTGATCTTCTTGTAAGTACAATAATGGGCCAGCTCTTCAATGAGAAGCCGTTGCAGGTTACCGAAGAGCCCTGAGTTAATCCAGACAACACCGAAGCCACATTCTTTGCAAGTTATTTTGTTCATTGTTCTAGCTAGGTAAGACACTTGAACTCGTATTCCTCGTTGCTTCCTACTTATTGATGCAAATTCTTTTCTCCAAGATTCGCCAAATTTCACCAGTCAAGTTCCTCTTAAGGTTTCGTTTTCCACGCTCAGGAGCTAGGAGGTAAGAAACGCGAACCAGTCTGGGCTGCAAAGTGATACATCCTAATTGGCTTCGTGCATCCCCATCCTATATCTGAAGAGACAAATGTAATCTCTATCTGTCTCTGCAAGTATGTATTTGGTCGGCCTCGCTAATGATATCAGACTTGGTTTCATATGTTTCTCTGCTTATTATTATCCCTGATAATGCGAGTAATGCTCCTGGCCTCGGAAGGTGGGGGAAAGCGCACAGTCGATCAGCGTCGCATTAGAGGGCAGCAATGACTTTGAGAACCAACGCTCAGTACTCCGTAGCCAGCGAACGTATCATTGAACAGCCCAGAAATCAGATGTCTCTCTTTCTGCTCAGCTTCGTTAGGCGTCGCATCCTGATCAGGCAGGATACCGAAATCAGTGCGCGAGCTGGCTGTCGAGTTGGTACTTCAACTGGCCGGACATCGTCTATGACAGTACTAGAACGCCGTCTTTTGTTTTTTCAGCCAAAGGCTCTGATTATACAAACAGAAAAGTATTCAAGCTCTTCTTTCAAAGACCACTTTCAGAGACCACGGGGAAATCCTGCATGCAAACAGTGTTTTAATACCGCGCCTCCTTGATTGTCCTGCGCCTGACTCGTACTCTCTCAACCTAATCTTTCCTTACAAACGATGTTTTTGCCATTTGAGTCATCATATTCCTTAGAGGCAGACTGCTTTAGCTAAAGGGATCACAAATTTCCGAACCTTCAACCTAGAGACCGCAACTTACATCTTCATAATTCGCCGATTACCAATCATCAACGGTTCACGCTTGAGTTCAGCAATCCGTTGGCCGAGCTACATCGAGTCGTCGATGGTCTGACGCGACAAGGATAAGCTTCTGAAACTAAGATTGCGCATTCTATTATACTCTGCTCATTCCCCACTGCTTGTGGCAGTGAGAATGTTCCCGTTCAAACAAGCCACTTAAGGTTTACAATTGGATGAACCGGCGCCAAGTTATTTTTGATGTCGGATTCCCCGGGATTTAGGCCCAGGATTCTGCTGCCAGGAAGCCTAACAACCGGCAATAGCATGAGAACAATATGCAGTCAAGGAGCATAGCCTCCACTCGAGGCCCGTATGCGTGAAAGTCAAAAACTGAATGATCGACGAATCCGACGGTCTTGGTTTAGTGCACTCTTGGTATAAGAGCCTATGGGACACGCACTTGTGTTGTAGACTCGATCTGTTCTGCATCAACTACTTGTCTCTCGTTTTCTCATCCCCTTCCGTGATCAACAAACTAGCTGTCTTCCCAACTTAAGATATATACATCAAAATGCGTGCCTTCACCATCGCTGCTGCTCTCCTGGTTGCCGGAGCCCAGGCTGCACCTGCTCTCGAGAGCCGTCAGATCATCTACGGATGGTAAGTCACGGTTCCCTGAAGCCACACAACTCAGCGATTGTATCGCAGGGGTTCCAACTCTTGCACAGGGCTGACAGTAATTGATAGCTACTTCTCCGGAGATGGCGTTGTCAACCAATACGTCAGCGTTGGCCACGACATCGACGTGACCGGCACCAGCGGCAAGAGCTACCACATTGACTGCGGTACCACTTCGGGACAAATCGTTCCCAACATCTTCGCCAAGTGCACTGTGGACGGCAAGAAGCCGGATGGCATCACCGCCAACGAGTCTGACAAGAAGTAAGTTATACAAAAGGCACGGAACATCGCAGATAAGGACTAACCGATCACTTCTTAGCGCAATCAACTGCCCCATCTCCTAGATTATCACCTGCCTCCTTATCAAGCATAGTTTGAGTATTAGACTTTAATCCATAATTGGTCGAATCGACCTGGAAAAATCATTCATACTTTCAATCAGGTCACATCTGAGGATGCGTTGATCTACATGCGTTGGTGTGCGTTAATTTAGGGAAGCGACCTATTATACCCTCATCTGTGCTGCCAGATGTTCTAGCTTCTGGTTAACCGAGTCTGCTAAAGCGGTATTCTGCAAGTTGCTGAAGTCAGCCACGACTCTAAGACAAAGGTGCTGTGTGATACTATTATATTACTCCAACCGACATGGAGGTTGACCGTTGTGATGGCACCTTCAACATGTTGTAGGTCCATACCACATCACTTCGGAATGAAGTCAGCTGATGACATAGAAGGGTCATACATTCAGAAGCCCAAGACCCAACTTACATAGAATACTACGATGACAAGGTACTGACTGCACGTCAAGTTGAACAGTAGTCAGATCAAGTCTACCTTATGCGAGTGACAGCATAGTAAAGTGGTTTCACCAGCACATGAGTAATGATTTAGAAACTTCACTATTTTGTTTCTCGCTACATGCCATCAATTGTTGACGAGTTTCAATAACGGAAAACCTCGCGTTTGTGACCAGTATTTCTATACTCACAAGTACCGTAGCTGTTGATATTACGGATAGCCTGGCATACATCTACGCATTCACTGTTAGGCAAATCGGAAACTCCAAGTTGGACAACCAACTATCACAACCATTTGGAAGTTTGGATGCAAGCGTCTGGTCGGTTAGCAACAATGTATAACCGTGGGAAACATTCATGTGTCAAAATCCCCACCAAGAGAATATCAAGTACTTACAAGCGAACACGCTGAACGAACACGGGGAGCTGCCCCCTAGATCCTAGCATCAATGCGGATCTCGGGCCTCCTTGATGGCTTTGACGTTGACAGCACAAGGGTATCCCACAGAAGTCTTGGCCAGAGTACATGAACGATGACACGAGCACGAGTAAAGATCAGACGGATCTGCCCAATCGCCAACAGAGAACCAACCGAGGAAACACGAGACTTGGCCATACAGGGCCCAGAAGGCGATGGGGAGTCGGCAAGGTCCGACACAGTCGGTTTTGGGCTGAAGTTCATCGCCGCTAAGGTGCAGCTCTTCGATTACCCATTTGGTCGATGGGCCTATATTCGGTTGCAAAGCCGAAAACCAGACAGAAACCACAGCCCGTCTCCCACGGCTGAGATGATCCGCCTTGCAGGACGCGCAACACATGTCAGAGATAACCGTATTTTGCTGACAGGTCGTCCGTAGTGCGGCAAGTCCTTTTGAAACTACCGCAGCCGGCATTCTTATGCGGTGCAGTCCAAGATCACCGTCTTCTATCACCTCCACCCCGCCGATGTCAAGTCAAGGGGACGACTGTCTCCGCTACCTTCTTCCCGGATACGGGGGTCCGCTCTCCTTTCAAGTATACACGGTTGGCTTTACCGCGTCCGATTCATCTTCCCGTTATACGTCACAACCGCTCGGCAGGTCCAGAGCGTCTGTCTTTCCGAGGAGAATTATGCATTTTTTTTTGTTCGCATTAGTATGAGGCATTGGAGTTGATCAGCATCCATTCAAGGGCGGCGCGTCATCGTCACAACGCACACAAGTGATGCAGAGAACCTGGACTCCGCACTACATCTGACTTGAGTCTCGGCCAGTGCTCTCTAGAACAACTAATACCGCCCCATTGCTTTTCTCGCCGCAAGATTATCAACGCAGAATTCGAAGCGGCCGACT